GAGGGAGGCGCAGCCCCTCTGTAGCCAGGCGCAGTCTGGCTTGTAAGTGACAGGCTTCTGAGGGGAGCTCCAGCCTGTCACTGTCCCTCTCCAAGAAGCTCCATCTCAGCCCTGTCCCAAGATGTGTGTGGAGTTGGCTCCTTGGTGAGAGCCAACCTCCACCCATCTTCCGAATGCATGATGTGCTTTCCTACTCCGAACACCAAAACGCACACTGGGCAGTTTGTGCCTTAGGGAGAGCCCAGCATGGCCACATACAGACTGGGTCACAGATATTCTGTCGCCCTTCTAGAAATCACGCCTCTTCTTCCTGCCCTCCATGCCAGCCTTCTTAGACACAAACGCAACATGACCTGGGCAGCACCTTCCCCCTGAGCATGGAAATGAGCCCTCTGTCACCTCCTCCCGCCCACACCACATGCTTGTACAAATCAAATGGTGATGGGTTAAGCAGCTCCTAGGAGCAATCAGCTCATGGCAGTTTGTGGGTCTTATGACCTGTCATGCACCAAGAAGAGAGGAAAGAGTTGATGGCCAGCAGGTGGTGAGAGCCAAGGGAGGGAGACGGCAAAGGGCAGTGGGCACTGGGTGCATATTTGAATTTTGTTTCTTAATTGAACCCTTAATTTAACGGCAGGGTGTGTGTCGGCATGTGAGTTAAGGTAGGTCTTCCCACATGCTTGATAACAGAAAAATTAGCAAAGTACTCTCCTGAGCGCCAACGGGTGGACTCCCTCAAAAGGAAGGGTAATGACTTGAGTTCCTATGATCTGGATCTTATTTAAAGGGTAGAGGGCAGAACCTGATAGGGCACTTCCTTCATTGTTGGCAACCATGCAGTCATGAAGAATCTCACCTCTGCCTGCGCACCCTCACAGCTAGGGGAAAGCTCTCAGCAACAGCTCCACCCCAAACAAGAGACACTACTACAGAGCACAGGCCTGGGGTTTGCTGCACTACTCACTCTCATGGAAAAAAGAAAAAAAAGAAAACCCTTGAGGGTGACAGCCAAGAGCGGCATGGCTGTGCCTGTCAGCACAGAGAGCTGCTCCTGACCTGGAGGACTCTCAGATCAGGTGGGTTTCTCTGCCTTTTGTTCTCAAAGCTGTGCCTTTAGAAACAATGCCTCACAGCTCCGTAAGTCAGGAGAATTCTGTCCCAATTGTGGAAACTCAATTTAGCTCGGCAAGCAGCACAGCCTTTCAGAAGGGTCATTACTCATGAATCTCTCCTTCGGATGGGAGGTCTCCCGCAGCTGCTCCTCTGCCGTCCAGCTACTTCCTCTGTCAATACAGAAACTTAACCCGAGTCTCTCTAAGTGACTGACTGCAGGTTACACATCAAACACCCCGAAGCGAGATATTCTGCTGTGAGAACAAACAGGTGACTAGTGATGAGCCGTGTGCATTCAGACAGCATCTGTATTTATGAGCATGTGTGGATTTAATTCTGCTCTCTAGACTGCAAAGGTCTGTTGCTGGGGCCATGAACTATTGTTTCACTGAAATGGAAAATTACGTCAGGAGCAGAGCTTCCCAGGGCCCAGTCAGCAGACAGCTTGTCCGTAGAGCCATGGCCATTTCTGATCACCTGCATTCTAACGCCCTGCTCCAGGGATGGCTCCACTGGAAAAGCGTTCACTGTGCCAGCGTGAGGGGGACTGAGGTCAGTCCCCGGGACCCATGTGAAGTATGAGGCTCGCTGGCACAGTCTTGTATACAGAGCCCCAGGGAGAGGGAAAGGCAGGAAGCTGCCGCCAGGGTCAGAGAGAGACTCTCAATACAATAATAATAACACGAGGAGCACTTCCTCCACACACGCACACATATGCAGGTGCAGGTGCACACACAGAGGAAACCGCAGCCACCGCCATGGGAGCTGAGGCGGCCCGACGGTTAACAGCACTTCCAGAGGGCCTGAGTTCAAGTCCCCGCACCCACATCAGGAGGATCACAAATTCTGCAACTCCAGCTCCAGGAGATCTGTGGCCTCAGCCTCTGCAGGCACCAGTGCTCCTGTGCTCAGCCCCTAACACACACACACACACACACACACACACACATACACACACACACACACACACACAGACATACATACGCGCACACACACACACACACATACACACACACACACACAGACAGACACACACACACACACACACACACACACATACACACGAGCAAGCATGAGATAATTAAAAATAATTAATTAAAATCTGCTCCTGTACAGAGTCTGGACGTGTGGGGGGAGGAGCATGGGTTTCCCTGGGCTGATACCTCAGGAAAGTGAGGAGGGTTTGGGGGGGGGGGGGGGTCCAGACAGTAAGAAATGCACAGGTGTCGTATTTCCTGTCAGAAGGTGTAAGGATGGCAGCTACGGGACTCCCAGCAGGCTGGTGCCTCGCCAGCATCCATCTAGCAGAGCTGCAGTTCCCCTCTTTGTTGCCTGTGTTTTGTGATGACGCGGTGTCAAGACCCACAGATCACTTCCAGAGTTGTCATGTCTTACACGTCATCATCAGCTGAACCCATCCTTCGAATAATAGCGTGCTGCCCGTACACGCAGCAGAGCGGGAAGTCCTGCTGTCCAGGACCACTGAGAAGCTCTCCCAGGCTTTCTCCGTCTCTGCCGCGGCTTCTGTCCTCAGGGTCCTGGCTCCTCCACACGTGTAGGCAGCTTCATTTGATACTAACAGGAAGCGTGCACTAGCACGCTAGACCGCTAGGCCTCCCTTGATAATTGCTCTGACGGGGTAAAATAACTTGAGTTTTAATGCGATTTAATGTTAAGCTAAAATAGAAATTCCAAGACCCAGGAACTTGAGAATAAGAAATTAAGTAACTTTGATTCTTTAGGGAAGTGTGAGCATTTAGTCTTTCTGGGCTATTGGTAGCCTTTGTCTTTGCTTATTTTTAGAGATAAAAGCCTCCAAACAGCTCACTAATATAACAATGTAGCACACACAAGTGGATATAAGCAGTTTTTCCTCACAGTAAAGGTACACCTTGTTTATAACAATTTGGATTTAAACAGTGCTATTATCTTATAATTATCAAATAATTTCTAATTTTTTGCCACTTAGAAACAATTTTTTTTTATGTCTAGGCTTATATAATGAAAAGCCTTATTCACAGCATCTTGAATTTTCTCATTTGATTAATTTTTATACCTCCAAAAGAAGCTCGCTCCATGTCCACTGATGCGAACCAACTTTTAACTGGCAGAAATTCCAGCTTTTGAGTGACAGAAAGGTACATTCTCCTAAGAGCCAATCACATCTGTGAGTACACAGCCCAGGGCCTTCCAGCAATCCCTGAAAACCAGTGAGCATCAGCGTGAGCACAGGAGACCTGGTACTCATGCGTCCATCACCATGCCTCCTCCTCAGGCTCCCGGCTGCTCAGGCTCCCAGGGTTCACGCTGGAACAGAAGGCTCAGAGTGTGGACTGGGGACACGCTCATAAAAGATATTATAAAAGATGTAGTTGGACCATAAAGCATTTTATTCCCTTTTTAAAACCCTGTTCTCTCTCAGGTACATGGTGGAATTTTCCAGAAGCTGCACATCACGGGATATTGCAACAGACTGAATGCAGAGGCAGACAGGAAACCCAGCTGGTCTCTGTCAGCCTGACAGTAGCAGGATATAAAACACCAGCTCTCTCTGCACTAAGTACGTCTGATGCTTTGAAAATAGGAGGCTTTTATAGATAAACATCTCTTGAGATAAGATGTAGAATGTTTACTACTATTTAGTGACAAGCTAACATGCCAGAGGTTTGTGGGGTCTTCTTCCACAAGAACTTATACAGAGAACTTATATAGCAACTTAGGGGCTCTGGGGTCTTTGGACTGTAAGAACCATGGTCCTAAGGCTGTGAGAGGGCTATAACTGTACAGAAACTTCGTTGACAGGTGGCTATAACTGTACAGCCAGGAAATCAGTGAGAGCCTCAGTGAGGGGTGGCCTTCCTCATTTACAGCTCCAACCCTCCTCCTCCCTTCTAAATTCCACTTGCTCCCTCCTCTGCCTTCTGACCTCCTTGACAGTGGCCCGAATGCTTCCCAGTCCTGCACAGGAGACAGAAATGTTCTGGGCATGCTTAAGGTCAAGAAAGGCCCAGTGTCCTTCTCATGGCCGCTCCGATAAGCTCATTGTCTACCTCACAGCTCCGACCTTGACCCGGACAGCACACAGGGGTGTGTTCTCCGCTGCAGTCCTGTTTGTTACCCACACTCGGATTGGAAGACACCAGCACCACTTCCAGGCGGCGGCAATGGGGGCTTTCCGCAAAAGGGGACCACACTTTATAATTCAGAACATTTAAGAGCATGCAGAGCATGTCACCCTCAGAGCAACACTGCCATGCTCAGCACCTGTGGGTCAAGGGCCTTGCTCTTACCCAGAGTCCTCTGCCCCAACCCACATCTTCCATGCCGGTCTTTAGCATCCATAAAAATACGAAGCTTATCCCTAAAGATGGTGGTGGGGCCTGGAGAGATGGAGGCACACATTCGCTGTGGTGTTATCTGGGGTGACTCTCAGCAGTAGAAGCGAGACCCCTGCCTCAGCACCGCCTCTGAGGCCAGCACTGGGCTCTGAACCCCACTTCCCACTCTCCTTCCCGGAGCTGAGAGGTTCACAGCTTTCAGAGCACTCATCGCATTTGATCTCAGCCTCACAACCCAAGTGGCTTCTCGCCAACCCTAATGAAGAAAGCAGAGAACTACATTTGCATTGTAATTAACAGTTGCCCAAAATGGGAGCCCTCATCTGGGAGGAAACTGCTCTTAGACTCATTTAGCCTGTTCAGTGTTTCTTTGCAAAGCTGGACCACAGGGTTCACTGCGAGTTGCTAAAAGCCACTCTAAAACGGAGCATGGGCATAAATAGCAAGTCGAGTTGGGTAGAAGGCCCGGAAGGCATGGTTCACAGTCAAGCACACCAGGAGGATGGAGGTGGGGGAGGGGAGGCAGCAGGACCTTTCCTGCCATCTTACCATTATCTCCCGACGTCTTGTCTTTCCCGTTGGTTGCTCCAGCACTTTGTCTCTAAAAATGTTTAAGAAAAGAAAAACAAATGATCAGATCATTCAGGACTACTTTTGCCTTTTCTGTTAATTCAAAGATCTCTCGTATCACACTAAGTGCAGGCTACCATAGCTTAGAGAGTTAAAGCACAGTGGTGGTGAGACCACCACACCCTGACTCCCAGCAAGGGCCTGCTGAAGCCCCGCCACCACCTTCCGCAGTGTCGGGGGCTGGCTGAACAGGGCTCAGGAGTCTCGAAAGGTCAGGGTTGCTGATGGAGTACTACCTCATCCAAAGAGTGGAAACGAAGCCAAGGCTCCGCCAACCTCGGGCTGCTGGGGCTGGCCTCAGCACTCTGTTCTCAGGCCGGGCACAGGGCGCGCAAACGTTAACTTCAGGGGATCTTGGGTTGATTGCTCTGCCCATTGCTGATCCACTTCAGTCACTGTCTATGATGAGCTGCTTTTTAATATACTCTTCATTCCTTGAAGGTTTTATGCAGGTTTATAGTGCATTTTTTGGTCATTTCTAATCAGATTCAGTATGAAGAAATAACTTTTAAGGTTAGATTTTCTTCAGTCTGGGAGATCCCTGAGAGACCTCAGGATATATGTGAAGTGTAACACATGTAAACAAAAAGCGTGTCTCTTCAACGTTTACCATGGCCTGTGCAGTTTTCTGAGCCATGGAGGAAGATACATCTGTCAACCCAAGTGTTTGGCAATTGTCAGAGTCATCTATGATCAGAATTGACAATTATCACAAGCATCAATCTAAAAAGACAGAAAGAGATTACAATGACTCTAATTCCAGGATAAGGAAATGGGCCCATAGGAAGCAGGTGTCCAAGGTCACAGAGCCAATGAGTCCCAGGAACCCGGGCTCCTCATCCAGAGAATGGCGCCCTGTGGAAATTATCACTGTGGCATAGCCACAGGAAAGGGGCCTTGGAAAGACAGACAGCCTTCAGAAAGGACAAAGGACAGCCACCACAAGTGCCCCTAAGAAATGATGGTAGCCTCAGGGTCCCAGGTTCCATCTACAAGGCTCCTGGGAGAGGAGGGAATCCATGCCCTTCACGGCTCAACATTGTCATGAGGAATTTCCAGGTTGTTAGCCAATGATGACTCACAGAATATGGATCACCAGGTTCTATCCGTGTAAACAAACTGAGTCAGTGATAAATATGGATGCCAGTATACTTAAATACTCTCGGAATGCTCACTTCCCCGAGCAAATGATAATCTGAGAGAGTGCAGCAAAGGGCCGCCCCTCCAGGGGCGGCCAGTGTCCTCACCCTACATCCGCATCATGCTGAAAGCAAACATCCACCAGTCAGAGGCTCTGTACTCCACACAGTGAGGCCAGCACCTCCTGGAAGGAACAGGGGAGTGCAGGGTAATAGGAAAGATTGCAAAAATGCTGGCCCCTTCTTCATATTTAATTTGGAACTTTGCGTTTCCACAGTGTGAGACTGGCCAGTGTTTGATCCCCGGCCAGACATCAACTGCCTCTGCCATGGCATCTGTCCCCACACCTGTAACATAACCAGCTTGATGTAAACCAGATACCACGTCCCTTGCCTGGGGCAGGTGTACGGCTACCCATGGCCATCTCTTCTCATCTATCCTTAATTTGATGCCACCTCTGGTCCTCTGTCATACAAAGATAGTAAATGTGACTTCTGGTGGAAATGAACTACCCAAATTAGGGATGCAGCAATTGCCCTGGGGATGACCAAGCCCACTATCTAAGCCCTTCCTTGAATAATTCATTCATGGACGAAGATAACAGAGAAACTGCAGAATGAAAAGTGATATTTTTCAGGGGAGAATAAATACAATGAAGTGGAATACAAATGCAAAATGGGTGCAAGCCAGCCTCGGCTCATCTTAAAATGCCTCATATCCTAATACCTTCTAGGTACCACAAAGGCTACCTGGCTCCATAGTAGATCACTGTAGAAACCTGTGAGATGTACACAGGAAAGAAAAGGAGCCATTCTTTGAGGATTTCTAAGATAAGGTTTTGTGTCAGCTCTTGTGTGATGGAGGCAAATGGAGCTGATAGATGCTCTCAGTGATGCCCTCTCAGATCAGAAAGCGATCCTGACAGAAAAAAGTATGTCATTGAAAGTATCCTGTTTAAAGGACTTGTTGACGTTTTCAAAGGAAGGCTGAGTGCAGAGGAAAGTGCTCAGAGCTTCTATATCCCTGGAGTCTGGTCCTCACACAGGTTTACTTTACTGTCCTACTGTATGAGGTGGCAGGTGTCACTGAACTAAGGGGAAAAGGGTCCAGGCCAGGCTGTCAGGACACCACCAACTCTGAACTCTGGCGCTGTCTCTAGTGAGGTACGAGTTCTCAGCAGCTTCGTCAGCCTCACTTTACCCATTGCATCCTAAGACACAGAGCAGAGCTCCGCACAAGGCCACAAATCTGAGGGGTGCCAAGCCGGGATTCCAATCAAAGACCAGGCTCTCAGGTCCTGCTTTTGGCCACCATGCAGGAGTGTGTCGCATCTTCTCTCCTGAGCCACCACCACAGCTAGGGAGACCAAGGAAGGGAATTCATGTCTTACAGCTAATGTGACCTCATTAGCACCCACAGGGTGGAAGTATCAAGAACACTGGGATGATAGGAAGAAGTAGCCAGACTAGTAACACAGGGCTGAATAGCAGGAGAGCTGTGAGAATATTCTCAATTTTATATATAGCACAAGTACCAGAGTTAAACTATGCTGAAATAAATGACTGTGTGGCCAGAAGAGTGGATAGATTGGTCAATTAATAGGTAGATTAATGGATAGGTGGGTAGATGGACTGATGAAGGATGGCTGGATCAATGGATCAATGGGTAGGTAATCAATGAATGGGTGGATAGATGGATGGACAGATGGCAGACAGATAAGTGGATGGGCAGGTAGGTGAGTGAATGGATGAGCAGACAACACTCCTACAGGAGAACAAAGTAAATTTTTTATTTTTCATCAAGAGATAGAAGCTCCTACCTTTGGGAAGAAGGCTGCCTTTTCATTCCATCACCACTCTATCCCAAGACAAGAGAAGAGCTGGCCCTTCTCTCTACCTCTCCCAGCTCTTCCTGTGACACTATCATCCTGAGACTACACTTGCCCACTGAACAAAGTGTTAAGAATATATTCTACTATAATTACATCAAGTGCTAGAGGAAACAAACACAGTGAACAGACAAACCCTGGGTTAAGATTTAGGAATTTTGAGCTCTTTTCTAGGAAATCAGAACTAGTTCAATGGTATCATCCATGTATGCCACCACTGTGATACAGCTCAGACGTCCACATAACTTATGTTAGCATATGCAGAAAGCGAGAAAGGTCACTCTAGGCAAATATGCCTAGCTACAATTTACTGCCTCGGTTGCCAAATTACCACAAAGTCAGATATTAAAAATATACTTTCAGGATAGTCCAGGAACCCAAACACTAGTATATCTGAGAGCTCTAGGACATGTCCTTCCACAAGCAGAAATCTATCAGCAGAAACCTAACTGTGAGTTTTCAGGTGGCTCCAGGGAATTAGTCAAAAGCTGTAGGCACCAACAAGGGAGAGGATGAGGCATAAGGCTTTGCTTATTGTCTCTTCTGAAGGTGGATGGTGCCTTGGCTGCCAACACTCAGCCCCCATTTCTATCACAGCACTGTGGGACTTGATCATTCTACTCCCAGGAGAAGCTGTTGGGCCTGGCCGTCTGCTCTTTATCAAGCTACGGGGCCAGGTGTTCTCCTTCAGGTCCTCTGCTGTCCACCTCCTGCCCCATCCCATCTTAACAAGTCCACTTTCATAAAACATGAGTATTTGGGATCCCACAGAGCTTCCTGTGCCCGTGGACAGAGCGCCCTGTTCATAGGGTAAGTGTCTGCGAGAATAGCAGCCTCCTCCTTCTGCCACCTGAAGCCAGCACCCTCCCCCACTACAGAAGCCAGCTGTGCTACCGTCATCATCTAGTGACAGCCCCTCCTCAAGCACGTTAAAGCCGTGTCCCTGCTGTCACCTCGTCTAGAGTCCCAGGACCCTCTGTGGGAAGGGATGATCGACTCAGCTTTGCTGTTATCATACAAAGAGCCAGGCTATGGGCTCCTTAGACTATATAGAATCAGAGCCGGCAATTTTAATACGGACTTAAAATTAGAGTTAAAATTAGAATGTACTAAATACCCACATAACTTCAAAAGCATGACATGAAAACCCCCTTTTGCTCAGCCCCAGGGTGGGAGTGGGATGTATCTAAGAATTTGGTTAGGAAATAGGACAGAGAGGCCTGGACAGAACCACTGCTCTAGGTTGGCCATCTGTAGATGCTTCCCAAGCAACTCGGAAATGAAGTTTTCCTTCCCCACTAATGCTCACCGATAAAAATAGAACATGTAAGAATTTAATGAAGCCTCAATTAAAAGGAGCCTAAACAGCAATTGAGAGTATCAAAGAGGCCTGTACTCTAAAAGTCTCTTTTCATAATTTAATATATTCCAAGTATCCATTAGAAGGCAAGAAAAGTGTCTAAAGACACAACCTCTGAAGCAATTTTTCTGGACAGTCTCATTGCACCAAGATCTATGGGCAAACGCGCATCTGTGCATGACTGTCTTCGTTTGGGCTTCCCAGAAAGCAGAACCTGGGCAAACACTGTTTGTGTTTTAACTTTTAGCAGAGATGAGACTGATATTGAAGGAACGTGTGGGAGGCAGTGGACAGAGGCACCTGCTGTCAGGGTGCTTCAGAAGGCAGCCATGGTCAGGTGCTGGTGACCTTCAAGAGATATGCAGACTGAGTGTGAGGATGAGGGGCAGGGGTGGCATCACCCAGCACTGAGTCTCTCACTGAGTCAAGATTCCCCACCGAGCCCCAATTCCCAACACCTGGGGGCTGTAGAGTCTCACCTGCCATGGGCCTGGGCTCATGGTGAAGCCCCGAGTGGCAGGGAGGTGGAGACAGAGGAGTTTGGAGTGAGCAGGAAATGCTGAGCCCAAGCCACAGAATGGTG